GTCAAGATGAAATAAAACATTTTGATAAATTTTATTTTAATTTTTAAAACAAAATCTTGACCAAAATAGCAGCTTTTATTGAAAGGTACTCAGAAACTCAGACTGAATAATCAGATTTTCTTCAAAGAAAATTTGTTTTTTTTACATCTTTGTTTTCTTCCACAAACTAAGTAAAAAATATGAGAGAAGTTGTCTAAATTAAACAAAAATATTCCAATAGCACGATTTGAATGGATGTTGGCTGATTGTTCTGAATGAAGTCTCGCATATCAGTAGACAAATTTCCCCCTATAATAGATAAAGATAATCCATTAGATTCATGAGTTTGTTGAAATCTCTTTTTTTTACCCACATCGCTCTTCAACCACATCAGTGGTTTGGGTCGCACCATTTTCCTCAAGAAAACACACAACTCTATTATCTCTTGCATCTGCCCCAAGCATTTTTTTCAAGAAATGAAAACTGCTCAGTATTAAAATTGTTGAAGTACCCCTACATGTAGTGGACAACAGTCTTTTTGTTTGTGGTCAGTGAGTCAAATCKACAAATGGAACTGAACTGTTATCAGCTGGGGTATCTCTTCAGGCTGTCGTCGTGGTTTTCTGCTCTTTGACTTCAGACAAATTGACAGAGTGAGATCTCCTGAGTGGCCTTGCAGTACAGACAAAGTAACAAATGGTGTAGACTGAATAATTCAGCTCTGCTAGCAGGATTTGATCTGGCATTTATAGGTACTGTATGTGCTTGTGGGACTTGGGCTGCTGGAAAAGGGGCAAATTGAATATGATTTTTTTTTTTGCCTTAGGAAGAGGTTATGAGGAATGAATAAAGTGAAGAAGAAGATAAAATGGGAAGGAGTTGGGGTGGGGGTGGTGGGGGGGGTTGATAAAGACCATGAAGGGGTGGTCCTTTAAAGTCTATTTACTCCTATCTGTGACAGACCTTTCCCTGTGGGAGGTTTTTCCAGGAAAGCTGACCTATTTTTTCCCTGTAAAAGCATTTCTAGCACATATTCATTCATTTATGCTCGTGCTTTCATATTTTGCACATCAGTGCTGTGGTTTGGGGTCATGTGGCACAGGGACACCACAAACTGTTCAGGAGATAAAACCTTCATATGAAGAGATAATATTTGCTCAGACGTGAGTTAAACAGAAAGGTCTGAATCTTTGAAGCAGAGCTCTTTGGGAAAGATTTGAACAATAAATAATCTATACGTTGTGCTTTACAAACATCCTTCGTTTAGAGAGTTTAATTCTGACTGGTTTGATGAGCTGGTGGCTAGTCAGAACTGCCATCATAAATCAACTCCAGTCTCAAAAATGGAACACAATGTTTTTTAAACTGTGATTTTTGAGATTAGAGTTATTTAGTGGCAGCAACTTTGTTCTTGGCCTCGCCCAGACTAGCCTTTAGCTCATCAGTCAAGAAGGAGGTCTCTGCAGTCATTAAATGGGAGCTTCTTGATATGTGGGAGGAGTTTGTCAAAGACATGATTGATCAGACTGACTAATTCAGGTGGGGTTTGAAAACGTCATAGCGATTTGGTTGGATGATCGCTGGCAGCTGGGGGGATGTGTAGCTTTGTGAAAACGGACAGAAAGCACCTATAATTATAAATATAAATATTAATTTGAGTCATAACTCACTGTTCATAATAATTTTATTATTATGCTTCGTTTTTAACAAAGCAAGTCAATTCAACCAATCACAGTTTTGCCAACCTCCGTTCCTCCACCTGTGTACCAAACTTACGGTTAGGACGACCTCTGCCCACACAGAAACTCCCCCAATGTACTATAGAGACCCCCTACTTGCATCAGTTTGATCATTATAAAAAATTTCTAAAAAAAATCTACTTGCAACAAGTTACATATTATCTCTTCAATTCCTTTCCACAGAAGCCTACATCAGATTTGAACTAGTGCTTTAAATACATGAGTCAAATAGCATTTTTGATGTTCCGAGAGTGTTTGAAACTTTTTATTTCTCAGCATCATATAGAATTGATGTAAGAAATGAGAAAAAAACATATATATGTATATCTACATATATATACACTCAC